ATGATCTGTCGTCCCACATGCTAAGCACAACCTGTTAGCTCGCATGCAGTCCTTCATCAAGTGCTCCGGCTTGCTGCGGAAATGGAAGATCATGTTGGTTGGTTGTGGAGCTGGTCTCGAAGCCCTTGTCTGCTGGCGCTTAGCTGGTGCTCCTCCCGTCTGAGGCTTTTGTTGGTTACCGCCTGAGGTCTAACCTACAGGGCGCTTGTTTGCCCCTCTCCTCACAGAGTACATGATCCCAATCAGTTGTTCTGCCTTCCGAGCTACCTCTAGGACATCCGCATAAGTCTCAACCCCCTTCTGACTATAAATCTGAGTCTAGATCTCAAAATTTAGGCCCTGCATGAACCTTTGTCCCTTATCCACCTCATTCGACATTATCCCCGAGGCAAACCTGCTGAGCTTGGTAAATTTTGCTGCATACTCATCAACTGTACTAGTTCTCTGCCACAGCTTAACAAACTGCCTCTGCATCTCAAGACAAGCCGTCTTCAGGAAAAATGCCTCTAGGAAACTCTCCCGGAATGTCTCCCATAATATCAGCCTAGGCAGCTTCTCCCCCCTGCGTCCCACCAGGTCCTGGCTACATTAATGAGCTGCAGCTGAACAATATCAACTCGGTCTTCATCTGGTATCTTTGCTGCCCTCAATAAATGATCTATTTTCTCCAACCATATATCGGCCTCATATCCGCTTCAGTCCCAGCAAAGTATTGTGGGTTGAGCTTCCGAAATCCAGACACATTGCCCGGCATTGCAACCTGTCGCTGCTCGTCCCTCTGACGATTATGAGCTACCAGGTCCCTAATCCATTCTGCAAGATCAGTCTAATCGACTTGGTGTCCCTCAGGGATAACTAGAGTAGGGGGTCGACATTTTGGGGCCATAGTGATCACCTAAAAATAAGATTGGTCTAGATTAGGACTTGGGAATCAGAGAAATGGGAGTCAAAGGACGTATTTTTAGAAAGGAAATAACTCATTCTATACATGCTCTATTTTTAGCTCAATCTTAGTTTCTACTTGTATATAGGACGAGACAACTATTCCTAAACCTAGGGCTCTGATATCAATCAAAACCTTGTCACACCCCGGTTCCAAAATGTAATAGTTTGAAACATAACTCGGCCGACAATGCAACCATACGGTCACATTCATGCCTCTAGATCATCCTGTATACATATATAAAGACAAAACTATACCAAAGAGCATGTAGCCAAGATAAAAAAAAAGGAATGTATAGATAAAGAAATATCGAACATTTTCATAGTTCTATGACAAGTCCACAGTTTATCTAAATAGAAAGAAAAAATACACCATAGTCTAGAGAGCCACATGTAGCTAAAGAAAAGCCTAAACCAAATAACTACCTAAATCAACTGAACTGGATAACTGATAGAATGAATGGTGATCACTGCTGATGAGCCTGCCCCTCGAGATACTCTCGATCCTGCGAAGAAAAAAAGGTTCCCGAATCTGGGGCACGCAAATCCCAAGGGAGTCAGAAAACTCCCAACAAGCATGTAAAATGAAGGAATTATGCGCGTGTAAGTGTATGTGGCAGATATAAAGAAAAGTTGAAAATCTAAATTAATAATGATAAAAGGAAATGCAAATCATAGAGATCAAAATAATGTCCATCATCAAACACACAAGCGTATAATTATTATTTTAGATGTTATTTGAATTAGAGAAGAATATTTTCATGTATAGAAATCGGTTTCCCGTAAACCGTCCTGGGAACACGGCTTCAAGTCAAGATGGGCCCTTATTTCTCATATATATATAAACCAGGATATCAAGAATGCGCACAAGCCCGTTTATATACATGTTATATTCTCCGTCCAATTCTCCTTTATTAACTCCCGTGTTTGTCTGTTTAACCTAAGTAACTGTGCATGAAATGTTGAGCACTAACCATAGTATTGCCGTGGAACAACTTTAGAAAAACTATGAGAAATAACCGTGACCCGGAACATGTCCAATCAAGAGGGGTGCATTGTCTAGTCGATGATATAATAGTAATAGCCAAGGAAAAAAAATCTCATATCGGGATATCGATATCGAGAGCATAGCCATGCTATTATAATAGTAATAGCCAAGGAAAAAAAATCTCATATCGGGATATCGATATCGAGAGCATAGCCATGCTATGAAAGCACGCTTATAAATCACAAAAAAATCTCATATCGGGATATCGATATCGAGAGCATAGCCATGCTATGAAAGCACGCTTATAAATCACACTTTTACAGAAGTTATTTTCATGCACAATCAATCCTATTAAACGTCACTAGGTGACCAAAATAAAGCATCAGATGATCCAATAAGCATCAATAGATCAAATAATATCATCAATCATCTTAATAAACGGAAAATGACTAATTAGCATATTTGTTTAGTGTCAAGCAGGCCAAACAAATTTTAAATTTGACTCCATATAAATCTACAAAACTGATTTTAGTGAGTAAGAGGCTTAAACGGGTCTAAAATAGAATATTGTATCCCAACTTGGTCAAACTGGTCTGGAGTCATTGTCCAAAGCCACTAACCAATAAAACTAATAATCTTTCTTGTCATAGGTGATGTAGATAATAAGTAAACTTTAGTTTTCAGTCAAGTTCTTAAATAAATACTTCTAAATGAGTAAAAGATAAATTTATATATTTTGTAAATCAAAATTTTTATCTTCTGATTTGTATAAAAAATTATGTGAAATTAATAGTACTAATGTCAATAATAATGTTAAGATCATGGAGAGAAAATATAATAAATAAATAAGATAAAAAATATAGATCCTAGAATTATAAATCCTATTATTCATTTCCCAAATAAGAATATAACAATAAAAAATTAAAAAAACTCTAAAAATATTAAACATGTATTCTACTATTTATTTCTATGAAAGGAAAAAAATGAGTTGGAAATGAAGAACAAGCTAAACAAAATTTAGAAAAATAATTGAGAAAAGAGATGCTTGCTTGAAGGAAATCCAAATAATAATAATAATAATAATAATAATAATAATAATAATAATAATTGAGGAAGGGATACTTGTAGGAATGAAAAAATAAAAATATAATAATAATAAGATTTGAGGAAAATAATCCTTGCATGAATATAAGCTTAACACAAATTAGAAAATTAATTAAGGAAAAAGAGATGCTTGCCGATCCGTCGTAGAAAAGATTATAAACCCCAAATCCAAGAGAAAAATCCAAACGTCATCCCTCTCCTTCTCTTTTTCTCTATAGTTTTTTTTTATTTTCATTTTTAAAAGCTATTGTGAAGAAAAAGTAGATGAGATGTATATAGATTTTAAAGAGATGGAATAGTTAAGAGGTTAGAGATTTTCTAGGATTTTAAACATGGGAGATACATAAAATGGTTCCGTGGTTAAAGATTTTTTTTTATTTTTTTTTCTATTTTCCATTTTTTTAATGTGGGAGATATTTCCAAAAAAAACAAAAGCGATCTCACAAAAGTCATCACGTGAGAGGAAAACAAGGGGAAGAAGAAAAAAAAAATGAAGTTGGCCTTCTTGATATAATAACTCTCATGGGCCTTAAAATATATATATAATATATATATATATATATATATATATATATATATATATATATATATATATATAATATATATATATATATATATAATATATATATATGGAAAAGTGTTCCTAGGTGACGCATTGGATATCATCTAAGGCGCGGTCTAAAATCACATGATTGAGCTACATTGTGGATGATCGCACTCCGTTGAACTTGATCTACATATTCTAAACCCCAACACACCAAAGTTTGCAATGACTCATCGCGTTTGATCCTACGTCGAGCCATGTGAAAAGTTCTATTCATTTGAACCGTTAAAATTAATACGAGTGGATGAAGGGTCAAACAACGACGGGTTCACCCCAAACTTGGTGTGTTGGAGTTTTAGAAATTTAGATCAAGTTTTAATGGAGCGGATCATCCACAATGCAGCTCAATCATGTGATTTAGCCGCGTCTTAGATGATTATCTAAGGCGTCACCTTAAAACATTTCTCTCTCCTCATATATATATAAAAAATTATATATATATATATATATATATATATATATATATATATATATATATATATATATATATATATTTCAAATCCAAATGAGGTGGGCCTCCTATAAAATCTTGCATACAAAAAAAAGATTATTACAATAGGAGGGTAACTCAGAATAGTGGGGTCATGGGTTTGTTTGCTCAAGAATGTTTTTCAAGTATAAGATATCAGAACTCAATTCTAGATGACATACTATATTATGGAAAATTAACTGATATTGTTGAGGTAATTTATGGGTTTGGTAAACCAAAACAATATAGTTACACGATGTTCAAGGTTCGCTGGTGTCCTACAAAAAAGCAAAAGGATCATTATTGATTTGCACTAGTCAATCTTCACCGAGAAGTATATACGGATGAGAAATTCATTTTCGCAGATCCGAATGAGAATAAGCTGATTAGTGCTCCTTCGTGAAAGATCCGAATGTCATATCTGATTGGGTGGTTTTGTACAAAGAGCCAAGATCTGTTGTTCTTCCTAATAACAATGAAAAAAATATTGAAGAAAGTGAAGATAATTATAGTGAACCAATTGGGTCATTTGGTGATGTTTGGCAAGAATTCTCTTACACACAAAATGTAGTGCTGGATGTAGGTATGAACTATATATGTTACAATGCATTACCGATTTTCAGCTTATCATAAAAAAAACAATAATACATTTCATAATAACATATCTCATGAGCATGTATACAATTTTTTTAACTATGTTAATAATTGAATTTGTAGATGAGGAGGGCGAGGAGGCTCTTTGGCCTAGAGGGTGATCGATCACGGAGTATCACCCTAGGTACTGGTCCTGTTGATACACTGCCATCTTCGGATGTAGAAATAAAAATTAAATAATATTTTAATATATTTTATAAATTATTAGTTATCTAGCTCATAGTGATCATTTGTTACAGATGCGGGTTATTCATCACCCGTCCGCCCTGATGCAACACCAAAACCATCCCCCGACACAGGTATTCAATATTTAATAATTGATAATGGTCAATTAAAAATTTATATTAATGATTCTCCTTTCTTATGTAGGTGCTTCTTAGACCCTGACATATCCATCCTATACATTCCATATTGACTTGCGGCCGAAGACACATGACTATCTCAGTTTACCCTTACCTCCGGACTCTCATAAGTCCATGGCTGACTCAAGGAAGTATCACCCACGTGCTGCGAGAAAGTTAGAGAAAATGCTTCCTATATTGGAGACTAGGAAAGTTGTTACACTCGCAGCAAAAGAAAGAGAGATAACGAATGGTAAATTGTATAAATACTTTTAATTTTCACATTTATATATATTATATGATATATTATCATGTTATTATTGAAGGCTCTAAGCCAGATCCCATAGAGAACAGACATGACGAAGGTAAGCCTGAATCTAAACAACCGCCAAGATGACTGAGGGTGATAATTCGGTGGAATAGTTCTAATTTGCCCGTTGGTCCTTGGTCGACCCAATTGAATGCATATATTGGGGTTCTCGTTTGTAGAGCGAACATTATCAACCTTTATTTTTATTTTGAGAACTACTATGGACCGCATACGAGGCGATATAGACTGAGCTTTTGGTAACTACATATTGCTTTAGCTTTTCATTTATTAATAATTAGTAATTGATATTAAATTATCCTTACTATTAATAATTAGTAATTGATATTAAATTATCCTTACTAAATGTGTATGTAAATCTACAGGACTGCTTCTGCCTTGAGGACTTTGAGGGGGCTTGGAATTATGTGTTTAATTTCAAGGTTGAAGCAGTCCTCAAACAATGGAGGCATGAGATCAAACATGAAACCTAGACAAATATGAGGAGGACTGGCAGATGTTTTTAAACCTCGATGACTGAGTTGACAAGATTCATTTCGCGGTTCTCCTCATGTACTGGGACAGCAATGCCGCAAAGGTTAGTTTTAATAAAAAATAATTTATAATTTTAAGATATTAATTTCATTGCATATTTACAGTTATTTTTTAAAGAATAAATCCACGAATGGGTCAGAAAATAGAAGAAAGAAGCTGCATGACCACCACTTGGGCTCAAACTTCTATGCTAATCTGGAGGATGTTTATTGTCATGATATGATATATGTTATTTAAAACTTTAAATGATCTTAATGCTTAGTATGATTATGAAATCTCATAATTTATAATATGATAGGGAAAATCATTAATGCCGATACACATGAGGGCAAAAGCGTCATATGGTATTTTCTGTGATAGATATAGGGGCGATGAGAAGAATCGGGTGTAAAACCCCAAAAATTTAAATATTTTGTGATGAATAATAATAAATTTGTTATACATTGATAAATAACATATTGTGATGTTTGAATATGCTAGGAATTGATTTGAGATCAATTCAATGTATATATGTATATATGAGTCATATTGTGATGTTTGAATATGCTAGGAATTGATTTGAGATCAATTCAATGTATATATGTATATATGAGTGCAAATGCACAAAACATGTATGATGTATAAATCTGGAAAATAATGACTAGTGGAGAGATTTTATATTTTACACACTGATACAGTGTGAATATGGAAAACTTAAAGACCAAAGTTGTAGGTCTCTTCAGCAGCTTTCCAACAAATATTTAATCAGATCATTCTGAGCTCGGATATGAAAGTTACAACCAAAATACCGAAGAGTATGTTTCTAATCAGACTGAGTTTCCAGTTTCGGGTTTTGGGCTGTATTTATTCCGGTTTGTTGCCATATGTATACATGTTTATACACAAAAAATACCCCTTTTCTTTTATGTTCCAAACCCTAGCAGCCCCTCTCCTCCTCTTTCAAACCCTAGCCATAAACTTGAGTTCTCGAGAGAGTTTCATTAGGCGAAAAGCGAGGAGAAGGCGAGATTTGGGCGTTTGGCATCGAGGGATCGTTTGCTGATTGTTTCAGGGGGTTGTGCACATGATAATGCAAGATTATCTGCATCCAAAACCTTCCTTTAATAAAGATTACACTTTTAATGGTTAAAGTGATGTTTTTCATGGTAACTTAACCCGACATGACAAGGTTTAGATTTTTTATGATAATTCTTTAAACCATGATAGATCTATAATAATTCCTTGCTGTTTATGACAAAAATATGATCATGATCATGAGGGTTATTCATAAATTTGTTTTTAATTTATTAATCATGATTAAAACATGTTTAAACCCTAATTTAGCAATTAAATGATATTTTATGTTGATTGGAGATCCTTAAAACCCTAGGTTTGGGGTAAAACAAGATTTGAAAACATGAAAAAATATTTGTTACATCGATTTCAAGTTTCATACAAGTTTATTTATGTTAATTTTGTCGATAACTAGGGTTCTTGTAAAGAATTTGATTATTTGGGTTGTTAAACTTGGATAACTAGGGTTCTTGTAAAGAATTTGATTATTTGGGTTGTTAAACTTGATTAGGTTAAATCAAGTTTAAGTAAATTTGATTATTTGGGTTGTTAAACTTGATTAGGTTAAATCAAGTTTAAGTAAATCATGAGATATTTTTCTTATATGTAGAAATAAAGTTTTCATCTTGTCATATGATTTGTAAATGATAAAATTTATGTTCTTGATGAGTTAAAATTTTTGCAAGTTCAAAACCTAAAAGCCTGTTATGCTTCTGCGCGGTCTATCGCGGTGGACGTGGCGGTCGACTGCTGGACGATGTTTTTGTGCAGGAAGATCTATGTTTCTGCGTGGTCGACCGCAGTGGATGCGGTGGTCGACCGTTAGGTGATATTTTGTGAAATGTCTTTTTGCTCATTTCACGGTCGACCGCGGTGGTCGTGGCGGTCAACCGCTGGACCTGTTTGTGCATGTGCATGTTGTTTACATACGTTTGTGTGACCGACGAGTTGTTTGGGTTATTTGGTATTTTAATACACTGTAAATTGTGTATTCTACACATGAGTTGATTATCGACATGAGTTTAGGATTCACTCACCGAGGCACGAGTGTGAATAGTATATATGCATTTTACTTATAACATTTATTTGTATTACGCTCATCATATGAAGTTCTCGTGTTGGACATTTATCTATTACAGCCCATGTGTTGGACCTTAATCATATGCAGTCCTCGTGTTGGACATTACCTATTGCGGCCCATGTGTTGGACCTTAATTATATGTCATCCTCGTGTTGGACATTTATCTATCGCAGTCCATGTGTCGGACATTCATCATATATAGTCCATGTGTTAGACACTTATGCGAGTTGTCTTATTTAATATGTAGCATGTGAAGTCCATGTGTTGGACACGTATCTGATATTTGTTAGGACACCTTTGATATGGTTTGAGATGGAGTTGTCTTTTCTTATTGCTCCATGTAGTAGCTGTTTGATTTGGTATTTAGCTATTCACAATTTGAGCTAACGGGATATTCGACATACCTATGCTCGTGTTGTGGATTTCTAAATATCAACATTCATTTATTTCAGAGTAGATGATTGCTTATATGTATGTATTAACAAGTATTTTTCTTATATACGGGGAAAATAATCTAGGTAGGCTATGCTTAATAGATAGAGCCTCCACTTCATTTAGTAGCCCTTCCTCGGGGGCGGATGGAGGTATTCTTGCTAGTGCTCTAATGCTCTTGTTGTTATCATTTTAATTTTATTTTATTTTAACTTTTAGGTGGCTCAGAGCATCGGAGGGCCACAGGATGACGGAGTTATTGCATAGTCACCGTCACATGAGTTACTAGTAGAGACTCCACAGTAGAGTTATTTCGGATGTCGGATGTATTCCAGATTATTTACTGAGACATGATTTATTTATGAGATACTCTTTTTTATATCATGTCTGTTGTAGTTATTTTCTTTGTTTTACCTGTTTTGTACCTACACTTTACTTTGATTCCACTAGAGGATATTACTGTGATTGGTGAAACTTGTTGTTGCACAGTGTGAGAGGGTAGCAGGTTTGACATCTCTGGGTTCACCTTGGACTGCAGCCATGTGTGAAAACAGGGGCATCACAGTTGGTTTCAGAGCTCTAGTTCCAGTATCCTTAGGATCATCTTGTGTCGAGTCGTGGAGCTAGAATAGAGTTTCTTAGGATTCATGTATAGAGTCCGCTAGAAATTTCTAGAATGAGTAAGGACGTTATATACATATATTCAAAAAAAATTACAAATTTTTTATGACAACTATTTTACTTTGATTGAAAAGTAATTGCCTAAATACATATTGTGATACGTTATGTATATATATAATTGTGATCTCATTTACTGTGAAAAAAATTAATTTCTCCTACTGATATTATGAATATCGGGACGAGGACGTGGTCGAGGTAAACTCGTACCTGGAGAGCTGGGCAAGCAGAGCCCCAAGCCGCAGCATACTCTACAGTATTTGATTGACTTCATGATACCATTTACAGTAAGATTTTGCAACACTCGAGGAGCAAGAGGTGTATCCATTTCCACCAACAATACCACTTTCAGGAGTGCCACCACCAGTTGTACCAGTTATGTCTATTAAAGATGAAATACTAAAGATTACACCATCACCACTACCAGTTGTTGATAGAGCTGTAAAGCAGGAGACTTGGCTCTGTAAAATAAGAAAGACGTCAGACACGAAGAGCATTATAGTTTTAGGACACACTAGATTCATGTGCAGCCTGTAACTAAAAAGAATATGTAAAGATTTCTTAACGTCGATTTCGTACCAAACCAGAGGTTAAATGTATTTAGCATAGAGGACACCATTGGGGAATGACAACAAAGGATAATAACGACTTCATATTTTCGCAGGAGTAGCGAATATCACTTATTTGGGAGAATTTTGTCTACTCCTTCGACAAGCAGTTCGAGCTAGTTCAATTGAAGCAGAGATATGCCTGTAGTTAATGAAGAAATCAAAACCAGTATGGTGAAGATGACAAGGGCAATGGGCCTATTACAGGATCTAGAAGACCCCAGCAGCGGGGTAAGGATTTTTACTACCAGCACAAGGAAAATATAAGAAGGGAGTACAACATGATTCGAGAACACCGTAGCAACACAAAGTTCGAGATATATGTTACAATTATAATATGAGAGGACAAGAACAAAGTATTGTCGTAGCACACCAACAGGAGACCTGCATGACAGAGGTCAGGGTCAACAATCTCAGAGCCACGGTTACGGCCAGCAGCTGATGATAAAGGCATTGCCTATGATTTCAAGGATTGAAGGGCTAGTAGGCTAGATTTGCGTTATCCAGGAGATTCCTAAGGGACAGATGGTCCTATATATTTTCCCTCACCGGCAGAGTTTATATAGCCGTACCACGTGAATCATGGTGCAAGCGGAGCTTTCTTCGCGAATTTCTTTCAAACACAAACCTTATCTTATTCAAGAATTTCGCATTTCTTTTATCTTTCATGCCTTCGTGGATAGGTTTCAACTTGTAGCATATCCTTTAGATGTTCCGTTATCAGTCTCTACTCCTTTAGGAGAGGTGTCCCTATTAGAGAGTATCTGTAGGAGATGTGTCATCAGTCTAGATGAGTCCGAGTTTTTCATTGATCTGATAGTAATGTGTAGGGGTGAGCACGGTTCGGTTCGGGTTGGTTTTTACCAAAATTTGAACAACCGAACCGAACCACCTACAATTCAAAACCGAACCGAACCATTACAAATCGGTTCGGTGCGGTTCGGTTCGGTTTGTTCGGTTCTAACTTCATTAAGTATAACTTCACTTCAATTTATCTTTTATATATTATTATTACCCTATGCCAGCATGTATTTGTTTTTTAACTTTACTTCAATTTATTATTCTTGCTCATGTATGTATATTGTTTTTAAGTGAAGTAACTTGTCCTTTTGGATTAAATACTAGACTCTGACGTTGTAATTTTTTAGTAACGGACTTGCTTTGTCTTTGTGTAGCAAGCTTTGAGTTTGGTCTTTGTGGAGACAAAAAAAGGAGCTGGCTCATTAGAACATTGGTTATGTATGAATCAATTCCCTGCAACTGCTATTCATGGTGATCGAACACAGCAATAAGCCCACAAATCAAAGGCACAAATATATTCGGTTGGTTCGGTTCGGGTCGGTTTGAAAAATTGTCAACCCGACCCGAACCGCCTTACTCATAAAACCGTTTTTTTCGGGTCGGTTCGGGTCGGTTCAGTCGGTTTTTTCGGTTTGAACCGAACCGTGCTCACCCCTAGTAATGTGTATGTCTGAATTTGATATTATTCTTTGTATGGATTGACTATCTTCCTACCACATTAGTATTAATTGTTTTACGAAAACAGTCAATTTGCGAGCATCCGATGGGTTTGAGTTAGTTGTAGCAACCTCTCAAGGCAACTAGTTTG